ACTGGTAGCCAGAAATGCCCAAGAAAAGCAACACCCAGGCCGAAAAGCAACACATCAATGTCCTTGTTCCAAATACTAACAAAATAAAGTTGAGCGTCCTACCTTCCTCTGTGCCAGGAGATGTTGTAGTGGGGTGGAGAGGAAAGAGAAAACAAAAGAGAAAATCATTGGATTGAGAAAAAAATAATTTATTTCTGCAGTAAGCAAGAGTGCACTCTACTTAATTGTGTTCTCTTGCATCAGGATCTCAGAGGAAAGATCCTGAGAGAGCTCCTGAAAAAAGACTAGTTTCACAAGGAAGGTGTGGGTAAATTGCCCCCCAGCAGCCACCTGTCCTCTTACCTGGTAAAGCCCTCATCCTGCAGGTTCAGTACCAAGTTATCTGCTGTGAGATACACACGGTTTTGTGAGCCAGCAATCTGAAAAAGAAATCCGTTATAGAGATCGTATGGAAAAAAGCTTAAATGCACAAGGAAGGACAGCATTAATAATCACTCTCTCCCTCAAGATACAGCACTCTTGCTTGTATATACTTAAAATCTTAGTTAAATGAACACAGTTTTCAAAGCCAACTACGTAATGTCCTTACTTCCCATCCCAGTGCCGTCAGACTTTTAAAAAGCAGTGATCATTCTGTCTCCTTGTCAGACAGACCTTTGATCCCATGCCTATCTGTCCCCTCTTTGCAGTGTGCAGCAAGCCAGGGGCTTGTGGTGGCTGCAGCTGAGGGAGGGTGATGAGATCTGATTTGGATCTGGCCTTGTCATATGAAGGGCATAAACTCCTAGCCTTGCATATAATGGCCGATCACTGCTAACCAAATCTTTAGATCTATTTGATCAAAAAAAGAGCAGAGCTGGGAGAAAGATCAGGACAGGGCAGGTCACATTCGCCTTAAATTCATCATTCGGCCACTGGGCTAGAAGGAGAGAGCAACTGCAGAAGAAACATGGAAGTTCCCTGCTCTCCTACTCACCGTTTTTGAGATGTTCTGAGCAGCTCGTATCTTACGTAGTTTGATGTAGCCTGGATTCCTGCTCAGAGCTTCACCGAGGTGCAGGGTACAGTTATGGAAAAAAACCTGGTAATTGAAACTCACTGCCTTCAATTAATTCCTCCTAAGGAATTCACACAAATATATGAACACGTGTCAGCAAATTCTCAAAGGGAAAAAAAACCAAAACACTGCTACCCCACTAATTTGGGCCTCTAGGCAAGCACATTTTTACGTTTCCAAATGTAAAAATTCCAAAAAGTACAACGTTATTGCCCCACACAGCAAACAGTAATTACATCTTACAACAGGGAGCAAAGGCTCGCGGTGTCTTCTGCCCTCATCTGTAACCTCAGACAAGTAACTGCATTTAATCCTCATTCCAACAAACTGCAGGGAAAAACAAACCAGAGACCTACTTGAGGCTACCATCTCCTCAAAGTCTGCTAAACATGAATCCATGCAACAAATTCCAAGGCCTGTCAAGCTCACAAGCCATATCCCACAAAACACCCCAAAGCAGGATATCATCTTAGCAGCTGTAGCTTCTCCTTCAGCCTGAACAATCTTCTGCTTCTGCTCCTGCTTGGCCTTCTCCACCAGGAACTGCGCACGCTGTGCCTCCTGCTGAGCTGCAGAGAGAATGGGCAAAAGCACTGAAAGCAGATCCCATCTCTTGAATCCTCTGCCACGACTCTCTGGCTGAGGCCTGGGAAACTCATGCTTCTGTAAGAACGGACAGTATTCTAGGGCCACATCCACAAGAAAGAAATGCATAATTTTGCCATTGTTTTTTTTTAATAAAACCACAACTTCTAAGTATAATAATGGGAAGTACTACTTCCCATAGGAAGTAGTAGGGAAGTTCCCATTCATGACCCATTCCACTAGCTATGGCCCGAAGTTTTCTGCTAATACTTGGAATAATCTAGTTAGCTCCACTACTAAGGAAGCTGGGGCTTGTAACCCTGAAGTTGTATCAATGCAAAAATATTGACACGCTAGCTCAGATTTGCTTCCTTGCTTATTAATACAATAAAAAGGGAAAAGCAACCCACCCTTTCAAGGCATAAATTGCACTCACCCACTTGCTTGGCCTCCACGGCCGCTGTGTATTCACGACTGAAACTCAGCTCTGTGATAGCCACATCATCCAGGATGAGGCTGAAATCCTTGGCTCTCTCTGTGAGTTCTCGCCTAATGAGCAGAGACACCTGAAACACAAGCACAGCAACAGCACTTCACACAGGCTGTTTCCCACTTGCTGTGCACTACAATACTGAAGCACAACTGCTCTTCAGTTCAACAACAGCACGCCAGAGAGACAATATCTAAAACAGAGCTTGGACATTAATGCCTGCCCTCTGAATCTATCACCACTAACTCACTCTCCATATTCAGAGCTATATGTGTAGCATTTCAAAACTTAATTACAGCTATTTATAATTCCTTAACAATGCTACACAATTAGCACTAGAAAAAAAATCCAACTTATTGAAGGTTTTTTTAAATTTTTTTTACCTTCCACATCCTATCATACGTAGTTCTACAGTTGCCATGTTTGTTTTGGAGTAAGTATTTTCTCCTGCATTTTGAATTTTCCACCGTTTGGAATTTGAGTTTTTCCTCAACCCTTCATCGAGTGAATTGCAAGCACATGACTTACAAGGAGTCACTTTCTTTCCTTCTGAATCTAAATGCTCCATATTTAGATTCAGAAGATTCATACATAGATTCATACATATCACTTTACAGTAAAGACTGCTAAACACAATTTAACTCACTTGGTTCAGAAGTCTCACAGTTACCCCACGGTCCTCTGCTTCTGATAAACCTAAACAATACACAGATACTGCTTCTTTGCAGCCACACCCTCCTTTTCTATTCATTCATGTTATTCAAGATCTAACACATTAAGTTGTCTCCTCAGTGCACACCAGGCAGCTTTTTATGTCTTTCATAACCCTGATGTTCCCATTACTGACTAATTCCTAAAACAAAACCTGGACATTTATTTCTGTTATTTGCTTTTTTTTTCTGTCATGGATTCTAAACAAGTTAGAGATACTTTGCACTTTCTCTTCAGCAGTCTCATGCAGGAACTTCTCCAAAGCATTTTAAAAGAAAATCAGCAACTTCACTCTCCCTCATTTAGGATAAGTGGCAGATCACAGAATCACCGAGTTTGGAAAAGGCCTCCAAGATCATCCAGTCCAACCATCCACCTATCACCAATAGTTCTCACTAAACCATGTCCCTCAACACAAAATCCAAACGTTCCTTGAACACCTCCAGGATCGGTGACTCCACCACCTCCCTGGGCAGCCCATTCCAGTGCCTGACCACTCTTTCAGAGAAGGAGTATTTCCTAAAATCCATCTTAAATCTCCTCTGGCACAGCTTGAAGCCATTCCCTCTGGTCCTATCACCAGTTACATGAGAGAAGAGGCCAACCCCCAGCTCCCTACAACCTTCCTTCAGGTAGTTATAGAGAGCAATAAGGTCTTCCCTGAGCCTCCTCTTCCCCAATATACTCTCAGAATCCATGGAGCTCAAATTATTAAAACATAAACTTACATGTAAAGGCTTTTAAAAGTTAGTAAATTTTATAATTTTGCAACCCCTCCAGGTTCCCCCTTAACCTTTCTCTAAACAGAAATATTTACAATATTCTGTAGCATCTATCACCAAACACTTACCACTCTGCTAACTTCTGACCTGCTTCTCATTTCAGCTCCACTCAAACTGTTCAGTTTGTTTTGACATCTCCCTTGATACCCACAAAAGGTCAGATTATCATTTTAAGTCAGATCCAGTGCTACATGCTCACTATGATTTACATTAGCTCTCCCTCCCCCCCGTTATTACATTACATTTTGCATTCTACACATCATGAAACCAACGCTCCTCTCAAAAGCTGGCGGTACAGCTTCTGCAACTGTATCAGAATCAAACCACAAGCAGAATACAGTTCATACCCTTTCTGCCAGCAGATATGCATCTTCCACCCCTTTTAATGTTCCCCATGTGCACAATTTAAATGCCCTTTGCAATCTGAGCAGAAGCTCCCTCAGGAAGGGTCACCTGGGCTCTCTGTGTGATGAGCTGCGAGGCATTGAATTTGGCCACCACGCTCTTGAGCACCTCGTTGACGATGGAGGGCAGGACCCGCTCCTCGTAGTCCAGGCCCAGGCGCTGGTACATGCTGGGCAGCTCTGCGGCATTGGGGCGGGTGAGGACGCGCAGTGAGATGTTCACCATCTGCAGGTCTGAAGGGAGAGACGTGAGCGGGGCCGGCTCCAGCTCTCCCACCCCACAGGCCCCGCCGGGATCCGCTCTTACCTTTGGAGCCTGTGGGGGAGGAAATTTTCCGCGGCCGGGCACGGATATCATAGATGATGGGATACTGGAACCAGGGAATCCTGCGAAGGATCGGGACGCCTACATCAGGGGAGGCCGCCCGGGCGCCCGGACTGGGAGGAGGGGGGTATGTCCTACCTGAAGTGCAGCCCCTCAGCAAGGATAGTGTCCTGCTGCACGCCGCCAATGCGGTTGAAGAAGATGGCCCGCTGCCCGCCTTCCACTGAGAGGAGAAACGGCGCGGTCAGCGATAGTGGGGGCTGCG